AGCCTTCATAGATTTAACTGAAGGAAGGCTTTTGACCCACAGTGCAGCCACAATAGTTTACCCTGCTTGTAACTGCACGTTAATTGTGAGAGCTGAAAATAACCATGCAATTACCATTTATTAAAAAAATCATTTAGTGAATAAGAACATTTGCGTATCGTTGTGCATCCATGTAAGGAAAAAGATACTATTAAATTGCCAAGGCTATGTAAACACAGTGATCTTGGTAAAGAATTTGGTTGTGAGACCAAAATACCTCAGAAAAGAGCTATACCATTGCATAAATCATTAAAAGGTTGGAAAGGATAAAATAATAGTTTCTCTTGATGCTGTTGTGGTCAGTGAATTGGTCATATCTGCATCCCAGTCTCTAGGGAGCAGATGAATACCCTGAAGACCCAAGATAAAAGAGTGAACCAAACCTCCTCCGTCATTGCTGTAAGAGTCCCATTCACCTCATTGACCGAGGTATGTCCCTGGAGAAAAGGGTTTTTGGGGACAAGCAACTGTAAACTTGGATTTTATTTTCCTCATGCTTATCCTGTAGAGTGGTTGCTGTGTTATTAGTTTACAATGAGCATTTAGCACTGAACACATTTTGTTTGTCCACATTCAGATTCTGGCTGTTACGAAATCAAATTTCGGTTCTGCAGAAACCTGATTGTGTATCAAGGAGAAAATGCGTTTTATGCTAACAGCTTGGCAGCTTCAGACTTCAGAGCATAAACCTCTACAAAACCCTATTGCAAATCGTTTAACTTTTATTTACAACTTCACATTCCATGCACTTTTCATTGGGATCTTCTGTGAGAACCTGTAAAAGTCACCACTAAAAATACTCGGAGCTGGTAACACAGAATTGGTGGTTCTCCGATGGAGTCCGATGTCCATAATGCGGCAGCAAATGACAGTCTCCAAATTTACCTTCCATGAAAGTGGAATGAAAACTTCCTATTAGCTCTTTATGTCGGAGAAGCTGGTACTGCTGACGTTGCAGCTATCGCTGCAACTTGATGATGTGCTCAAAGTGCTGGAGGCAGTGCCTGATTCTGGAATAAAAGGGAAAAAAAAAATCACCACACGAAAATACTATATAGTGCTTGTTTTTCATTACTTTCTTTGATAATAGGAATCTCCAGAGACACAGTAATCTCATTTAAAATAAATACCTACCAGAGCTGCTCAAAGACTGAGCTGATTTTGAATTGCCTATGAGCATCAGCACAATGTTTGCTGGGATCCAGCCTTCTCTACCAGTGCTCAGGTTCTTTACATACCTAAAAGATATATAAAAATAAAATTAGGATTCCAATCACATCATTTGATGCCTTTGGAAGTTTTGCCCTAAACATCTGCCTTCCAAACACAGTTCTGCGTATAAAAATTCCCAAACACAGATCTGCGTACCAAAGTCCATCCTCCCCTTCACGAATCAGTTGAACTAGATCTCCACTTTTCACTGTAAATTCTTCAGAAACTCCTTTCTCATAATCAGTCACAACTGTATATTTACCAGGAGTCTAAATGCACACAGAGGAAAAACAAACAAATTATTTCTATTGAGTACTTTAAGGTATGTTGCAGATTTTGTTATGAAATTATAGTACTTTTCCCTTCTTTCTCATGCACCTACATGCTGAAGAGGGTGTAAATATACATACTGAGGCAGTAAAACTCTGATTGATTACATGCAAATTCAGTACATGAATTCTCACACCCTGAAAAACATTCAGTGTCATGCTTCTATTACAACAATTAATTCATATGTCTACAGAAAACAAAATCAAAAGAAAAAACCCCAACAATACCAAGCTGGCAAACTCATGACATGATGTACATGTCGAGACCTATTGACATAGTAGCTGATCATGTCATCACTTGACTGCTGTAGCATGGCATAAGCAGACACAACTCACTAGTCTGCAGGTATGCAAAGGCACAGATGGACCTTCCCAATTTACAAACACAGGGCTGATTTCGGAGAAGGGGATCTTCTCCATTGCCCTAGGAATTTTGCCCAGCTGAGCATTTCAAGGCAGACCTTTCCCGTCCAGCAAGCTTCAAAAGCATTCCTGTACATTGCCACACACAGTGCATCGGTATTGCTTGCTTAGCTCAAGAGGAAAGCATTCCTGGTTACCAGCTTCATCTCGCCTCCCCCTCCTCCTCCTTCTTCCTCCGCATCCGATGAATTCAGTGGTTCTTCAGCACTAGACCAGCCATCATTTTCTTCAGATGCATCAAGAGAATGGGATGGTTTGGCCCAACCTTGCAGAATAAACAGCTGTTAACTTAGGAGCGGTGAGCCACCGACTGGGAGGAACGTTCTTCCCACTGAAAAGCTCTTAAAGCAATCAACATGAACAGGAGAAAAACTGTGCAGAGGGAAGTTATTACAGTCACTGGGTGAAATTCATTGCTGGCAAAAGCTGGCCTGTTTCCATCAGAGTAAGTAGAGTTGTGGCAATGCACAGCTGTGAATTTGGCCCTTTGGATTTATATAAAGAGAAACAAATGGAGAGAATGCAAATCCACAACTAAAAACCAAATATATATAAATATTTGTATAATAAATATATATTATACAAAGATAAATGGTGGATAGATACTCTTTTTCTTGGGAGGAGATATAAGACAGGAAGGTACACTTTCTGGGAAGAGGTTGAACATGAAGGGGTGTCACCCAAAGCAACCTAAATAGCCTGATGGAATAAGAGATTAATGGGGAATGCCTCCTTCAAACCCTTAAGCCCTTAGAGCTGTCAAGAAATTCAACACAAGCTACAAGTACTGTGTACTTCATCTGATGAGGTAGCTCTTTATTTAAGAGTGTTCAGGCTGACACAAGGATACTTAAGCACACTGAGTTACCTTGGTGTTAAGTCACTGCACCAAACACTACAAGAACAATCTGCCGCCTGTCATTTATTGCTTATTCTCTCTTGGGGTGAAGTATTTCATTTATTTATAAAGCTGAATCATATCCAGAGTGCAGAAAATCCTTTTCCAAATAAAAGTACAGTAAGTTTTTAGTGGGATGCTTTATATTGATGTCAGCAGCTGCTAATAAATGTGTCAAGCTCATTATGAAAAAAAAGTCATAATTAAAGAGACAAATATTTGTAAGATTTTGTTTCAAGCCAAATAGTAACAACAATGTAACTCAATGAAAAGAATGAAAGGAAGAACAAACCTCCCACTTTTATGTAACTATTAGTTAAGTTGAGAAAGCACCAGCATTTCGGCTCTTCATCGCTTCCAAGGCTGGTCATGCCAGTGCATGAGGAAAAAACTGAACATCAGAGTAAAGCCAAAGAAATCTAAGAATCATAGAATCAAATCACACCCAGAGCACACCAAATGGAGTGGGATTTTTACCTCGCCTGCGCTGCTGGATGACCTGCACTAGATTAGAAGTACTGACCCATTTGGCCCTGTCCAGGGTTAAGAATGAACTTCCATCTGTGAAGAAACTGAGTAATAAACTCCTGCTGTATTCCATGGAAATTTCCTTGGAAGCTTACATCGTCTAGTTGGTTTGCTGGACACAGATAAAACCCTTTCCTTTACTTCCAAGTTAAGGACAAAGCAAACCCCCCCCCCCCCCCCCCCGATTTCTCATAACTTTCTCAAGCTCTCACTAGAAACAGAACCAATGAGTTGCAAAAAACAAAGGGAAACCACTAAAGTTCTCTGCCTGTAGCCTCATACTCACTGGCCCGCTGATCTGGTAAATTTTGTGTAACAGCTCTTGTTCTTCAGCCTTTTCTTTCCTTATACTGTGTTGATGTTCTAAGAGCAGACTGGCCTGATCTGCCATAGCAACGACACTCCTCCTCATGCAAGCTGGCACTCTGTTATTAACAACTCTATATAAAAGGCCATCTCATCCTGGGAAGGGAAGTGTCACTATGGGCACTGAAATTATGCCTGCACATTCCATGTGTATGTGTGTATTCTGCATGGTGTGACTAAATCAGAGCTCCCTATAAAGGCAGGAAAGGAAAGAAAATGACAGGTAGTGTCGAGAAAAGACAAGGTTATGCAGAAATGAGTTTTACATATGATTGGTGCCAGGAAAACCAAGAACTCATTACACCCTTCTCTTCAGAAACAGTCTCAAGTTTCTTCACAGAGCTATGACCAGCCTACAACATGTGATTCTGACACTACATTATTTTCCCCGAGCTCACTGCATGTAATTCAGAGCAATACAGCAGTGAAAGGAAATCAGTGGGGGCAACGCACTGTGCACTGGGAAGCTGTGACCATCATCTGGTGTTTCACCTCAAAATGCCTGGGTCAGCTGCTTGCTTATCTCTCTTTGAACTGGGGAAGGAGAAGAGATAAAGCATCAGAAAAAAGGTCGAAAGGTGCAAGACAAAGAGGAGGTAGTAGATGTTTTAAACTCGTTTACTTGGTTTAGCAGTTTCATGAAGTGCAAGGCACTGGGACAGAACAGCAAATCAGACAACCCTATTCCAAGGACCCAATAATTTTACTGTAAACTAGCAAAGATCAAGGACTCTTCCTTGGAAAATTCCAGCATCTCTGGAAAGGGCCATAAACCGCTCTTTTCCTCCAGACAGCATTTCTGAGCCCTCAGGATTTCTATCGTACCTGGAGATCTGAGAGTTTTGACTGCTACCTGCAGAAAATCAACACTGCAACTCATATCCACCTCTCTGGTGTTTCTGCATGTGTGTGTCCAGCCCAGGACTGCTTTCTGCTCAGATAAGGTGACTGGTGTTGCATAGTTGCACAGCAGCTGAACCTGCATTTCCACACGTAAGACAAAGACTTTGGAAACCTGGAGAGGAGGTTGATGGTAGAGGTTGAAACAACTTCACCTTTAGATGAATATTTTCTAAAAGACATGGTGGTGGAAAGAGACAGGAAGAGGAGGACTGCTCTCCTTGTCCTGTCTAGTGAATTAGCCCTAGGGATTTGTACTGAAACCTTCACTAACAGCCTTATTGGTCATTTAATTGAACTGCTTTTCTATTCTCTGCTTAGCTGTGAGCTGAGGGGACAGGAGGCAAACTGCTGCAAAGGGTTCAACTTTGGTCATCTGGGGTTCACAGGGTGGTGAGAATTGCTCACTATCACCCAAAGAAAGATGCAATAGGGCAGTGACTACAGTAATAAATGCAGATCTAAAATGGAAATTCCACATGACAGTGATCTGGGTACATGAGTTTCAGATTTTTTTCTCTTGTTTTAGAAGTTAAATCCTTTCCACAAGGGGCACATCCTTTCCACAGAAGGATGCTAACACATGGAAAACCATGTGTCTCATAGCAACTGGACACCGCTGTAAGTCCATTAAACGCCCAGCTTCTGATTATTTCTTCAGTAGCAGATCTCTTTTCCACTGTATTCTCCTAAAAACTAGTTAACCATATGCTACTTTATTTGATACCAAGTTAAAACTTCAACTGGTTTTGCTATCAAAAACAGTGTATACAGAACCTGAAAGATCCACTTGGAAGAACAACTGATATCCACACTGCTGCACACAACAGCACCATACAGGTATCCCCAGCACTCTGATGTAACATATTACATGAGGGATGTGTGGATATTTGAGGAGTACAAGATGTGGTATCACTGTACCTCTTAAACCAAAAGGAGTTGGGTCACTCACTACTTCATGCCGTTTAGCTTTTTTGTCAGGACTGGTAGGAGAAGCTGCAGGAGGATGAATAGGCAAAAAAAACAGAAAGAGATATTGAAGAATTGGAAAAAAGAGAATAAGTGGATTGCATGCTAAATACCTTTGAGTTTACACTGGAAAACAAGCGGATTTCTGTAATCTAATTTTAGTTGTCACTGTTCCATTGCAGAAGAACGAATTAATTATTTAAAAGTAATTATTTGAAGATAAATTGACAAATTTATTTTACAATAATAGATGAAAATATCTGCAAACTTTTCTAAATGAACTAGACATCAATTGAGTACAATTAACTTCAATTTTAGACAAACATTTCCAAATTAAGCAATCATTTTTATAGAAATCTAGTGCTACAGCAATACCTGGTCCTGTAAGAAGGATCATTGGCAATGTCTGGCTTTTAGCAGAAGGAGATGGAGTTTCTGTCAAGGCAAGCATGGGATATTAGTGCTCACCTCATTAGCATTAGATATACAACCCTAGAGTCTCTCCAGAAAGAACTCAAAGGTAATCAGGTTTTAAACAGCCATTCTGTAAAGATGTTTTTGGGGAAAAAAAAAAATCATGCTTTTGAACAAGTGCCATCATCTTAATGTAATTCAGACTGTTCAAAGACAGCTGATCAAAGCAAGAAGTAACTGTACCAGTGCGATTACTTGGCAGGAGGAAGCAAGAAAGGTCTCAGACTCCTATTGCCTGTTTTAGAAAAAAGGAAGTAAAGACCATATCTGGAAGAATAGAGAAATTCGTATTTATTTTTCTATTCAGGAAAACAACATTGTCAGCCATACTCTGCTGTAGTTACGCTTTGGGAGTTTTGTTACAAAGGATGCCAATACAGAAATACTCTATAAAACCTTGATTCCTTTTTGCCAAGTACAAGTGCATTTGGGGCAGATCCACTGAAGCTAGAAGCAGGCCAGGTGTCTGATCAGATGACAACTTCCTTCCTCTAGTTTTTCTACAGGAATGGGGCACTCCTTCTTTGGCCTTGACAGTGAGATTGGAGATACTGGAAATTGCACTCCTTCCCTTGCATCTCCAACAGCCTCACTTCTCCCAGCTGCATCTCCCCCTCCCACTCTGCAGCTGCTTTCTCTTGAAATCATCTCCCCGTCAGAGGCACTGACTTAGGAACCTAGCTTGACCTCAGAAGAACAAGCTAGTGTGTACACTCAAAACCTATCACACTACACAGCACATATAAGGTGATACTTCAATTACAGTCTTACACAGAAGACAGTCTAGTTCTATTAAAAGTTACCTTTCTGACTTTTCAGGTTAGTAAAGCCCTGCAGCGTAAAGCGCTTTTTTGACAGTACAGAGCATTCTGAGGTAGAGCTACTGTTGTCTATAAAGGAAGAAAGAGACACAGAAAGAAAAGATAGAAGGCCATGAAAAGATCAAGGCAAAAAGTCTTTTGCAGCCCTGCCAGGGAACTTGCATGTTAGGAAGAGAAAGGACAAATGAAAGTCCAGGTACAACATGTGCGGCCAGTTGTTCTTGCGGTGCAGGACCTTGTACTGCCACTGGTTCAGTAAATAATTTCCATGATTGGAACACAATCAAAGAGAAAAAACAAAACAAAACCAACCTCTTTAGAACAGGTAATGCCAATAAATTTATCCAGAGGAAGAGAACCCTGCGAAGCTGGGCAGCTCTAAGCGAAGACGTGTTGCAGACTTCGGCCTCATAACAACAGTTCCCATCTGCTTTTGGCTACCATTCATTCAAGATGCCTTTGGGCCTGTCCACACCACGCACTGGAGTGCAGAAATCAAGTCCAAGCTAAGGGTAGATGGGACCAACATGCTGGTGTAGTGTGGGCAGCACTTTTTTGGTGGGCTGCCTTAGGGTTGAAAGCAGCAAAGCCCTGCTTATTGAGGAGTCATGCTGCCTCCCTGCACTACCGTGGCTACTCTGCTGGTGGATCTGCCTGTGTGCCTGCAGTGCAAGGCATGCTTGTCACAATTAAAGACGACGACACGTACGTGTAAACTCACCTTTGCCTTTCTCAGGGTACTTTGGTAATGCTGTAGTGACATAACCTTCCAGACTTGTGAGATCAGCTTTTTTCTCCTCCATTTTTTTGGTATTTCTGATGTGGTTTCGTGAAGGACTGTTTATTGGAAGAAAATTAAGACCATCAATCCATTTCTAGTAAATGTGGGTCTGAACAGGGGTGAGGACCTTAAGTCACAGCTTGTCTTTTACATATAGATATATAGGCTGAAAAACATTTATTTGCTACTTCCCAAATCATAGCTTCCAGGACTGAGAAAGTAATTGGTGATTGTGCATTTAAAGACCATGAGCACATACAAATGAGAAACACCTCTCCTAACTGGCTGAAATTGCATGTACTGTGGCAGTGGGAGCTACTGAGAAGATGGCTCAGGACAGCTTCCACTCATTTGCAGCCTACAGGTTCCTCCTGAACATATTAGGGGGAAAAAAGGAGAAAGATAAAGGAGCTGCCTCTCGGAAGCTCTTAACACAGGAGCAGATGAAGGATGGACAAAGTCCTCGGGCTGGATCTCGCAGCTGGACTCCCATCACACCTCCATTTGGGAATGGAATAGAGAAAGATACTCTGCAAATACTATATATTTGGGAAATTCTTCCTGAGCAATAAGTAGATGCATAAAAGATGCAGTGTAGAGAGTTACCAATACATATTTGAGCACACACCCTGTGGAAACTGAAGACAGGAGCACACAGGCTCATGGGTGGATAGACAGATAAACACATGAAAAAACAAAGTGAGTAGCAGCGAAGGGGTGTCAGACAAGGACAGAGCAGCAGGTAAGGGACAAAAGAATATACAGGTTGGTTTGGTGAAGGATGGAAAAGAATAAAAGCTTGACTCAGAAGTTGGGACACTGGAAGAATTTACATGTCATTTAGGTAAAAAAAAAAAAAGGAAAATTGGAAGAAGAGAACAAGGGACAGAGAAAAGATGATGTCCCAAAAAAAGACAAAAAGGAAGGTTACATTGGACATTGGAAAAAGAAGAAAAAATTAATCCATATGAAAGAAAAGAACAAAGAAGGAGTAAAAGGTTGCTCCATAAAACTCTTATCTGGACTGTAACGTATATTAATTAGCTGTTCAACAAGCAGACCCGTAATATCACCAGGATTTTGACTGGCATAGGAAATGACTTTTCTGGATTGTTCTCTATCAACTGGCAAAGCCCAAGTCATTGCTACTCAGTTTAGCAGTTCTGGATATGTATAAAATCAAAGCTCTATAGCTTTATAGTACTAAGAGAACTAAAAAGCCTTAAAACACAGGGACCAGTATTAAGGGACAGGAGTAATGAAGTAATGCAAACCAGATGTATTAGTGTATTTACAAGACAGCCAGGCTGATTTGACAACATATATACTTACCTTGCACAAGATGATGCTGGTAGAGGTAAGCTCTGTGTGTGCTCTAGTGTCCTGTGCTGACTAGCTTCTGTAATGGAGGAAAGAAAAAGAACTATTAAAATAGATCCGTGTCCTACACAGGGAAGATATACTGGGAAGGATTTGAAGTTCAAAAAGAAAACAGATTAAATATATTTGTATCTCCAAAATACTTTACCTCTGCATGCCTGCAGTTGACTCGTCAGCACTTTTCTTATTTCATTTACCCAAGTAGCTTTAACTTCAGGGGTTGGTGCCTACCCCAAAAAAAAAAAAAAAATCAGCCATCAAGCACAGAATACTTATTATACAAATAGCTGGATGCCAAAGCATAGCCTCAGAGGAATTTTTCCAGAGGTGCAGACAAAACTCCCTCTCTAGTCCTTCTGTGAATAGAAACTAGTTATAGCATCTGCAACATGCTGAGGGAGAGGCTATGCATGTGTGACAATCAAACCCCACCTCCCAAGCCATCCACTTGGGTTGGCAGTCAACAGAGTTGGGCAACAGCTGGCCCAAGCCAGTGGCAGCTGTAGTAATGGTGTATTCAGTATCCTCCATGGATATTGTAAAATGTGATTAGTTTTTCCCCCAGGAGACTCTTCAATTGAAATAAATTATGAAACTACCTTATGAATTAATCTGGTGGTGCTTTGGGTGTTTTTTCCTACATTTCCTCATTGCAGTCTTTTTTTTTTTTTTTTTTTTTTTTTTTTTTTTTTTTTTTTTTTTTTTTTTTTTTTTTTTTTTTTTTTTTTTTTTTTTTTACGCAGTGGCACGTATTATTTACCTGTATAATGTAAACTTCTTCCCTTGCATTATACCAGATTTCAAATTTTTTTGCATCACCTTTGACATTTTCTGTTATTCCAACTGCAGCCATCTGGAAGCAAAGAGAACAGAAGTTCACCACATTGTAATTATGGTAAGAACAGAAGCAGGAGGATACTAGCATTCTTTGGTACCCTATTTCTGAAAAGGAAAACCAGATTTGGCTTCTTGCTCAAAGAAAAACAATAACATCTCACCTGCATGTTGGACACAAGAGATTTAGTGCTTTAGTACTGGCTATCTTGTAGGAAAGAAAGGTTTAGGTACATTACATTGAGACTGACTTATAAGATATCTCTTAAAACCCAAACCATGGACTTCTTACATCTTATACTACCCTGCTCTACATTTACTGTGTGATAATTGCACCTGCCTTTCAGCTGCCCTATTACCCTTTGGATTTTCTCGAAGGATCTTTTCCCCCTGCCATCTAACAGACAGCAACACAAAATAACACAGACCTGCAGCACCAGTCAGGTTTGCCTGAAAGAGTGAAGTTCTCAGTGCAATGCTGCAACACAGCTTTGCAGAGAAAGATTAGAATGTTGTACTACTGCAGGCTAAGCCCTCAGTACCTCGACCTTGCTGGACTGTTTGGTGTCTTACATTTAAGGAGTGTTTGTAGCTGTAAGAAGGTGCTTTCTCATATCCCTCTCCATTTTCTTCTCGCTTTTTACAGAACAGCACTGCTTTCTCATGGAGGAAGAGGTGTCGCTGCATTGGCTTGAAACGTGCCAAATCTTTCACCTTCGCGTGACCCTTTTTATGATCAGTCCAGACATTGAAGGATCCCTGCATTAAAAGCTTGCCCAGCTCATTCAGGTTTCCCTGGAACAAAAGAAGTGACATTTATAACTACAAAGAGATAACATCGAACCAAAACACACATTCTGAACAGGTCCTCGCAAGTCTGTCATTCCAAGTAATCTCTCACATCAGTGTTTATGTTGGATTTGGAAATGTAATAAAAATAAAGTCAGTGTTGGATTTTTACACATAATTTTCATTGGCTAACACTGTTCAGGCAGGATTTTACGATCAAGAGTACCAATAGCAGAGATACAGAGAACTACACACAGAGAGAGGGGGAAGCACAGTACACATATTGGATTGTTTGGGGTTTTTTCGCCAAACTCTGCTCCAAAGCTACTTACACAGTCTCTTAGCTTTTGTTATATTCTGTAATTGGAAGTTTTGGGTGTATTTTCACACACAGATATAAAAACTTAGTAGCAACTCCCATTTGGCAGTAGCCTAAAACACTCTTCGTGACAGTTTTCAGTTTCTAACTCAGTGTCAAGTAAATCAAAGAAAAAAACTTGGGTCAATACAGCAAAATATTACTCATAGCAAAGAAACTTCAGAAGAGTATAGAGAGATCCATTTTCCATTATTTTCATTACATAATACAGTTTAAAGGCACCTTTTGTAAAACTTCTCATTATTAGTACACACTATAGGGTATGCTTTACATACATCTAAGAAAGAAATGAAAAGAAAATAAAAAGTAAGTAAAAATACTGCTACTCACATCGTAGCCTGTAATGGCTATCTGGTGCATAGAATCATTAACTGCCTTAAGAATGCCCAGTATAGAAGTCAGTGCTTCTTGAAGATCTTCAGCACCTTCACAGTTCTTACTGTACTTCAGCATTTCCTGAGTGGAAAGGAATGCCAACATACTTAGCTTTGGAAACAGCAGCAACTAGGAATGTTCAATTTTTAGCACTCAGTGTGGGAAATCCTCTCTTTACACAAGCTTAAATGTAATTGATTCTTTAAAAGCTGTTAACAGCTCAGTTTTAACTCAAGAATAAATGTGGCCTGAGGCAAATTTTTTAAGCTACTGTCAAATATAACCATTGAAATATGTGTCTGTGTGAGAAATAGTTCTTACTTCATACATGGCAAAACATTATACATTAATTTGAATAAATTTATGATATTACACTGCTCTCATTTTGCTCTCTCAGTATAGCATGTTAATGTGAATGACAACAGCATCCTTCATAAAAACACCACACAGGGCTGTCTGTCAAGTGGGTTTCCTAGAACCCAGCAAGTTCCCAAGGCAAGTTCCTCCCAAATGGTGGGGTGCTAGGACTGAATAGTAATAAGTACTTCAGATATTCTTTTCTTTGTTGCAAAGGTTTCTTGGTCCTTCTGTTTCCCCTCATCAACTTTTCGTTCTTCTCTTCAGCAGAAATCTATGGGCAAAAGTAGTTACACAAGGTGTCTCTGTGCAACATTTGCTTACTACCGGTTTTTTGAGTAAAAGAAAAAAGAACTGTGTTGAAAGCTGATGGACTAGGATTTATCTGTTTCCATTTATATATCCATATATCCATAACTACTAATTTTTAGATTTGTCTTCAGCAGGCTGAGAGAAGTAGCATTTAAAAATACAAATGTATATAGTTCAGTAACACATACCTTTAGCAAGAGTTGGTATTTGGTTATTCTTTGAACAGGTTTCAGTAAGTATGAGTCCAAACTGAGTTTGTGATCCAGTTTCCTTTGACATTCCTGTAATCAGTGTTGGATTTCAATACTTGTGTTATTTGTTCTTGAGATGATTAAGTAAAAATAAACCAAACAAAAAACCCAGACCCCAACAATATCAAACCCATCATTATTTTAGGGATTCAAGCAAGCATACCTGAAAGAATACAGAATCTGAAAACTGCCTCCACAAACTTTCAGATCGAGGTTTATTTTGACAGTATTTCTCATAAATCTGGAAATCTTCCATCTGGAATTGGGGACACAAGCAAAAAGTTAATAAATTCTTGTGACTTTAATAGACAAAGTTCATAAGAATTTTTTTCATAATCACTAATGTTATGAAAAACCCCCCCACCAACAAAAATTGAATCATTGTTTTTTGCTTGAGATGCCTCAAGGAATTGCAAAATCACCAATTTTGTAATGGCTCCTAATTTGGTACTTGGAACAACAGAATAAAATGTTCCCAATAGTGTTTTGCTTCAGTTAAATGTTAAGCATCTTACAAAGAAGTATATATTGTTTTTACAAATATATTTCTACTACAATATGAAAAATATTTTTATGAATGCCCAACCTTGAGTCCCTCTGTGCAATGTTTTTTAAAGACTTTGTCCTTTTTCTTTATTTTCATTTCAGGAATGTGTTTTTCACTGGGAGTTACACTAAGGTAGATCAAGCAGTTTGTTTCCCCTTATCACTTTGGCAACTAAATAGCATGACTTCAGCACTTGTTGAAAGGAAAAGGAAATAAATACTGTTGAAAATGCCATAGTAACCTTAGCTATAAATGAAAGACCAGGTAGGAAATCAGCTGATACAGAAGTACCTCTGTCCCTCTGTTTTAGGAAACTGCATCTCCATGGATGCCAGTAAATAGAAGGAGTAGGGATTGCTCCTCCCAGGAGCTTTAGAGCATCCATAGATAGCAAAAACAGGAGATTGATTTCCATAAACACATTCGTATTTAGCCTGTAGTACTGAGACTCATTGTTTAATAAATCCTAAATTGAAAGAGTTTAATTTTGTCATAGCTTTCTATATTTTTATATTTCTCTATATTTTGTCAAAGCTTTCTATATTTTGGACTTACTCCGTTGAGATGTACTCTTTAAAGAAAACAGGAAAGAATGATAACAACACTAGAACAAAGAAATCTAACCAAGTAAACAAACCATTTAATATTAATATTCTCAACCTATCACATGCTCAGGACAAACAAAAGGGATGTGGTGGTAATTACTACGTGAAAATCACACTCACACGTTACAGTCCTAGAGAGGCTTATGAGCAAAGTGTCAGCAAAAGATGACACACGTACCTGATCCAGGAAGCACCGTCCTACTAGTTCTGGGTATTCTACATAGTTTTCTAATTCTCTCAAGAATATTCTATGAGGAAGAAGATTTTCTTAGAGCACACGTCAAAAAAAAAGTTATCATAAATGTTCACACTCTTGCAATCCGTTTTTTAAACTTTTGGAAAGAGTTGTAATTCTGTACTATGAAACTAAGCAAAAATTCTTCTAGATCATGTTCTTCAAAAGGGATAGCAAATGAAACCAAACATAATCACCAATTTCTTTTAGCTTACTGTTGCTATAACTGAAATAAAGTATCAGATTCGTGAGGGAAAGGGGATTTTGTTTCCCTGCCTTATGTATTCAGCAGCAGAATTTATACAGTTTAAAGTGTTTGGGTTTTCATTCCAAACACCACAAACCAATCAAACCCCACGTTCCCAAATTTAGAAAAAAGAACCATCACCCAGAAAATCAGTGGTCAAACCCTCCATTCTAGTTTTGTCTGAATAAGAAACAACTATATAATCTGTGGTTTAGAATAATAATTTATTTTCCACAGCAAATATCACAAAAAATTAAAAGAAACCTAAAGAAACCTTAATTAGCTTAGATCCAAGTAACTTGCTTCAGGAAGAGGACCACAATGCAAAATTTTACCTGTGTACTGCAAATATGAAGTTTCACACAGCTTCACTCATCTTTTATAAATATTTTGTTTTGCCTCTTCTATGCAATACAAATGTTGACATACCAGATGGACAAGTAGAACTGGGTAAGGCTCTTTTACCAATTAAAAAAAAATTAAGAAGTAAAGAATCCCATGCAAAAGATATTTTTAGATCTGAATGCAAATCCCCACCTGTTGTGAAAGTGATAAATTTCTTCCATATTCCCAAACAAGATATCCTTCTTATTTTGCAGTTCTGGTGAGATGAGATGAGCCATTAAGGGGTTGTCCATCTCTGCAGCATAACCCTGCAACACAGGAAAGAGGCACGATGATTTTCTCCCTTTACTTGCAGTACTTCCCTCTCTGACATGGCAGTCTGCCTTAAGCCTGACAGCGAAGAAAGAGCTCAGTATTAATCATGAAAGAAGCATACAAATCCTGTTTTTCCATCAGCCCAGTCAGATATACACACAGTTTTTATAGAAAGACACTTTAATAATTCCTGAGATTCTAGTTAAGCAAGGATGAAAAATTTTGCCATCATTTTCACCAAGGAAAGGTTCTGCATTCCCACACTGCTTACAAACTATAGTTTATACTCTTCCTGTTAAGGCTTTACACATCTGAGTTCAAAGCCACAATTCCAGTACACACACAAACCTTCATGCCTCTCTCAGCCATTCCTATGAAGGAACAAGCTGACTGTAGTTATTTCTGCAGGTAACAGAAACCACTGAGCTACAAATCCTATCTTTAAGGCACTTCCAGTAGCTTTGGTACCAAAACTCGTAACTTTAGATTCTGACATCTTCCATTTGTCATATAATCACACACCTGTTTATCTGGCACAGATAAGGACAAGAGAGTACAAAGGTGGCTTTATCCCAGGACTGTGTTCTCCTCTGGTCCCGAGGTCACTAATTGGTGTTCTCTCAATACACTAAAAAACCCCTAAACACTATCCCACCCACCCCCAACCCCAACCCAAACATCCCCAAACAATCAACCAGAAAAGCTGCAAGAATGCTCTAGTATCTGCATTAAAAGCAGATTTCTTAATGTAAGTACATTAAGAAATGTACTCTTGTGGTTTGTGCGCTTTTTTTCAAATTTTTTTAAACACAAGGTGATCATTGCATTAGTCACACTGACTGTAATAAACTACACCAAATTATAACAAACTGACAAATCAAAAGAAGGGACAAGCAAAAGTGCACCTACACTTAGGAATTTCAATTTCTAAGTGTGGTCCAAAGTTCAAAAAGTAGAACTAGCTCATAAAGTCAGCTAACCTGAAGCATGTGGATAGGATAGTGACTAATTTTTTAAAAAAAACCCAGAATCATCCCTTTAAAAACCTTGGTATTTTTTCCTCAATCACCACATTAAAAAAAAACAAACAAAACAAACAGTGGTCTAGGTGAAGATGCTGGAGCTCATAGATAGTTAACTATCAGTCCCACCCTGTATCTCTACCCCAAACAGGAAAATGCAGAGTCTGAAAGATTATAAATAAATAAATTAATAAAATTAATAGAAATGGTACAGCCTTAAAAATTACAAAAATAATCCATATAAAATGAAGCTAAATATTTTTAATGAGGAAAGAACAACTGCAGCCACTATGCAGTTCAGATGAAGAGATGCATGAAGAGAATGATTCACTTCCACTTGAAGTAAAGATGTGCTGAACACAGCAGCATAGTCAGTGTTGGCATAAAGAAGGGATACCTAATTTAGCTGAGGTGAAAAGAAGCCTGACAGAGCAGATTACTTTGAAATTTTGAAAAAACAAAAGCATGAAACCCATGCATTGACAAAAAGCTTTTGTCAATCCTTTTTCCACCTTAGGCTGATGTAGTACTTATTTTTAAAATTTAATATAAAACCTTCACGTTTTACTACCTATGCAGTAGTTGTGTTTTAAGAAAAGAGAGGGCAAGCTACCTTATGCAGCCACAGAGATTATTTAATCTTACTTAAAGAATATATAATGCTTTGCTTAGTCTTTCTTACTAAAAGATTCTGAAATCCTTAATGCTCATCCAAAGATATGACAAGACACGGGTAAGGAAATGTATCTGAAAGCTGTTCTAAAGCATCAAAGTAAATGGAGAAAGGAGCAGAATTCAATACCTAAAACCAGACTAGTCCAATATTTTTTCCCAGTAAAAATTACTGAATTTCATGGACTAAAGGGGGATGATCATGGTTATTAATAAAATAGAAACTATCAAACTTGCATAAAAGTAGTGATAGCAGTTTCCCAATAATCAATCTTGGGAACTACCTTGCTTTTTTTTCCTATCAGAATCCTTGGCAGACAGAAGATGCATGGCAAATAAACATGACATAGTAAGAGGAGACACTGTACCTACAAAGGAGTATGAGGTTATTTTACATGAAAAATTGAAAGATTATAATAATAGGAGAAACAAAGAAACTAGGAGAACAGACAGAATTATGGATTAATACCGAAAGCTGGAAGACTGCCATTGAACCATACCTCAGCATGTACTGACGCAGAATTACTGCTGGCAGACCCACTAACCCCAAGTTCAAGAGAGAGGAATCCTGAATGGCAAGGAGTCACAGAGAAGTGTGCCTGGCATGGTCAGAGAACTGAAAAGTCTGTCACTCTGGCAGAAAATCAAGACAGCTTGGCCTAGCAAGACCAGGTTGCCCTATACTCAATGGAAAACAAGAGTAATACTATGGGAATAGAAAGATCCTGCAGAAAACCTCCAGCAACAGCAGTAAGGACCAAGAATCCTCCAGTTATTCAAGTTTTTGATTCTATGGACTAGAACTGTACACATGGCATTGCATACAAAAGCAGAGAATAAAATTATTATTCAGGTCCACTCCAGACCCATCTTACTTTATTACCACGTAGCAAATGCAAACATCCTAGCGTAAATCAACACTTCTAGCACATGGACTGGGCACAGGACATAAATGCTGTAGGAAGCTGAGCACAAACTAGCAAAACCAGGACAAGAGTCCAAAACCCTCATACAGTACCCTTACTTGAAGGTACATACTCAGAAATTATCAATCCTGGCCAACGACTTAAGACAGTTCCTATCTAGGAGCTTAATATTGGTATGGACAACAAGAGTACTCACTTGGCTCAATTCCAATTCATCCTGACTAAAATAATTCAACACTAGTTATCTACAACATTATCATCCCCTACAGTCAAACTGGACTACAAGAAAATATGACACATCCATATCCGAAGACTTAAACTTGAGGAACAACAGAACAGTGCAGTGTAATTGTGTAAGCAACTCAGCAGTACTGCAGTTGTGCATCCTCAAGTGTGCAGCAAAAGGAGCACCTTTGCTTCCCTGATGATTTCAAATGAGGGTATTACTACAAGGCATTCTGTTCCCACAGCTGTACCCAAGACGTGGAAGATGACAAAGACATGCAAAGAGGGGTGCAAGAAACAAATTTTCTCCTCTGACACAAGATTCTCTCGTTGCAGATTCACATTCTTGTGTGACATATGACCTTCCTGGAGTTGGCCCAAGATTATGGAAAGAATTTTTGCAGGAATTAATGACCATTACAAATCTCAGTATGACCCACCTAAATACTAAGGCATATCTTATTTTCTGCTCAATTTGTGTTTTCTGATAGAAAAAATCTAGTTGTATGAATATTTCTAGAAAAAAAATGTGCATTTCTGCCTCTGTGAAAATAGGAAGAGAAAGAAGAGGTACAATGATCATACTGCTTGACAGGACAAACAGATGCTTTACAGTGGTAAGGAAAACATAAGAGCATCCATGAAATGGGAAAGACAAGTAGATTCACTGACAGCCACAGTGAAATTTAATCTTTACCTCAAGAACACAGAGAAGTTCTTCCACATATGCTCGTTCAGTCTCGATAAGTTCATTAATTACATGCCTGTGGACAAGGAATGACAATTAAGGTGGGCCAATTCACTCATGCAAAGTAATGAGGCAACACTAACGTTGTCTGTGTTTCTACTTTACTTTAGACAGTAAAATTTCCAGGTAATGGAATATGTGATGTCTCATGGATATTTCTATAAGCAGTTGATATATCTTTATTAAGTGATACGTATTTTTAAAACACTTTATATTTCTGAAAATGTGTTTGAACAGAGAAAAAGTAAAATCTTAACAGTAACCGAATTGAAGCTGTGAAGCCTTTTATCATTGTACATACAAACTCTGGTTATGCTGTGTTTGTATTACAGGAGGTGGAGTAGCTGCATAGCATTATCAAATACAAAACTACACTAGTGATTTTAAATTAGAGGCATTTAGGGCACACTTTAAATATCTCAATGCTGTTTTAATTTCCCTAACAGTCAAGCAAGCATGCATTCCCCCAGCCCCCTTCCTTTGTGATTCTGTATGTTGTAACACAAGGTCGTATCAGTAAAAAGATCATATGAATAGCCAGTTTACAGGTGAAAATGCAAGGTCTGCTATATGCATTGCAGGTGCCACCAAGTTATTCCTTTAATAAAAGTGATGCTATTCAGTTTTTATATAAATGATTTTTGGTAACATTTATCAAAACGGGGACTAAAAAGAGTCCAATAAAAAGACAGTCTTAAGGCATGGAGACCAAAACCTCCAATAGATTTACAGAAGGCTTATTACTCAAAACTATGTCATCTCTGAAATGCAAATATGCTGTTACACTGCCATAGCATCACCTCTCTGCAGCAAAGGTAGAGTCTGGTACTACACAAACTATAAATAATGCTGCAGACAGACTGAAATATCTTCCTTTGTGTACAGAGCAGAGTCAATGCACTTCAAAAAGCAATGAGGCTTATTTCAGAGAAGCATCTTATCAAAGATGCTTCCAGAGAAGTGTCTTATCAAATCCTTAGCCAAAATCAGGCTTTGCTGGAACCAAATCAGAAAAAAAAGCACATCTTTTTGCTTATCAAAATATACTTACTGTCGTAACACAGCTAGGTTTTCTTCATCATCCATTGTAGATCCTCCTCTGCTTTGATGCAGTTCAGTCATTTCACTCTAAAGAAAGAAACAAAACAAAACAAAAAAATTATCATGGCATACCATATGGGGGAAAAATGCATTAAAATAGAGAGCTTTGTGCTCAGCTCTCCTAGTATGCCTTTTCACCAGAAAAACTGTACTCCAGTAAAAATTAAGGTAATGTGCAAGAATGCTGCAAAAAAATCCAAGCCATCCTGAAGCTCTTGAAGCACACAACAAGAAGCTCTCCATAAGAGGTCAGTTTAGAAAAGATGGTGGTTCAGAGTCCCTTTTCCAAGAAGGCAACATCAGAGCATCTGCATAATCTTGTAGGCTACACTGGCCTTAGTCTGTTTTCCAAGCTAAAAATAAGGTACCGTGCTAACTTTCTGGTTCCTGACACAGAGATTTGCTCTTAAACTCCTACTGTAATAGCTAAATCTGACTATGGCTTGCTGAAAAAAAAACAAACAAAACGGTTCTGCTTTCCACTCCACCTTGAACTACCTCCGTTCTCCAAATGTTGTCCGTCCTGGTCATGTGGTCCTGCTTTTCTCCTTGCGTTGCCTTTTGCTGAACCTTCACTGAGTTGATTCAACTCTCTAACCCAGTGAGAAACTATATGTTTCCATTGCTGCCATCAGGTTACTTTCCTTGCTGGAGGTGTGGCAGGAAGATCATCCCCACTTGGGAATGGCAACCCATTAGCTCAGGTGAAGCTGTCTTGCAGCCAATGACAACTACCTCTTCACTCTCACCAGTTTTAAGAGTAGCCAATTACTACTGGCAAATAATAAATGTTTCTTGTTCATAGATTTTATATTTTGCTGCCCTTAACGTTTTTCCTGATATTGGCAACTATTTACTTTACCTTCCCTCATACCCAGCCCAGCAACAAAGCAGCCTCTATTTAAACCACACGACTGTTTTAGAGTTACTTCAATAGGGACAATACCATCACTTTTCCAGTAGAATAGCCTCATCCTTCTTGAGAGTTCCTGAATTATGACATTGTATTATGACTTTCTCAAGCAGTACATACATGAAAAATACAAAGGAAAAAAAAAATTACCTTTCCTCTTCTGTAGTTTACTCTCCGAAGAGCACTTTCTGAGTTGGGTACATACTCTCTTTGAAGACCTAAGCACATAAACCAGGATCAAACAACAGTTAAAACTTGATCAGATCTGACACGGATGTTTGCGCCACTGCAAATTATGGCTGAAAGTTTCTTTAAGTTTTTCAGCATAGCACAAAAAAATTAAAGGCTAATACAGTAACTTACCTGGAGAGGTACAAGGAGATTTTACAAATGCTTCAGGTCTCGGTGCAACAGGCTGAACAGGACGTGTCTGCTTAGCTGCCAGTTTCTTAAGACTTATTTGTCTCTTTTGAAACATTTCTTCCATACTTTCTTGCTTCTGGAAAACCTTTTGCACGTGCTCCTACCAGTGCCACAGAAATAAAAAAATAACTTAAAATAATAATTTAAATAATTAATTAAAAATTTTTATTTCCTGTCAGAGACGTATCAACAAGTTATATTGACATTTAGATCATATTGATTTGAAATTGCAATTACTTTTATACCACATATGGAAATACTACCCTAATTCTTGTCTCCTAACAAGGCATAATTTACTGTCATTTAGTACATTTAAAAACTGGAACATCAGTTCATAAAGTATTTTGTATGCTTGTTATAGAGAAATCTGGGATTCAGGTTTTCAATTTTTAAAAAGGAAAAGCTTTTTGACAGTGTCTAAAGGTTCTGTTACATGAAGAGATCAACCAAGAGGAAAAGGGATATATTCTCAAGTTCTTAACAAAAACATCAAAAAACCAAAAGCAGTTACAAAGCAGAAGTGTGCTAACATCAAGGACAGAAAATATCACAGTCTTGCTACATAAAAAAAAAGATACTTCAAATACTTCGGAGGTTTTTTTTTAAAAAGCAATCCTACTGTCTGAAAAAATTGATGTAGTTATTAAAAGACTCTGAAATCCTTAATGCTTATCCACAGATATGACAAGACATAGGTAAGGAAATGTGTAGGCTTTACAGTTCCCAGGTATAACTCCTAGTACTGATTATTTAGCTTTAGCAATGGCAGTACAAGAGAGAAATTCTAAAATAAACAAATGGACACACAGATACACATAAATGTCTTCTGGTACCTTTAGGTCCTCACTGAGGATATGTGCATACTCTCTGTAAATTTTATTCAACTCTTTGATTTTATTGCCAGCACCAGTATCCAGGAATTTCTCGATCTCCTGTAATGCTGATTCTGCACCATCCTGAGACTGACACTTGTCTACTGGCTGTGAAGCCAGCAGATAAATTCCTTCATCACACCACTTCATAGACTAGAAACAGAGAAGAGAAGAGGCTCAGAATGCACCAACGTCAGCATCAAACACTAAGAGGCCTAAAAGACCTCATACTTCTACTTATGACGTGCTCAGCTACTTAAGGACAAAACTTCCAACACATCAAGATAATACTATCTACCATTATGACAACTGGTTGACTGAGGTTTTAGCAAACAAAACGGGAAGCAACTGTTCCATTCAAAATTTACCTTCTCTAATAAGTCATGTAGTTCCAGAGATTTGCTAAGATGATTTCTCCTCCGTTCTATCTCAGTAGTGAAGGCATCACAGAGATGATGAAGTTCAGTGCATTTTGGAATAATGGAGTCCACAGCATAATGATTGCTTTGAATAAAAGCATCACCCTCTGAGGCTAGCATTCTGGCTTTTGCTACAGTTTCCTAAGAAAGCAAGCACTGATTTAGGTAAATCTTTCCTTGGATCAAGGTCAATAAAAAAAAGTCAATATTATTTCTATGCAGTAAAATACGATAAAGAATGCGATAAAGAATACATCTTTAGTGAACAGCTGCCTTGATTAATAAATTAAAGTGATTTCCTGTCTTTCCAGATGCCCGAGAACTTTTATGCCTTCTTCCTTTCTGTACCAGAGTACTTCAGAAGCATTAATAAGTTTAATCATATTCCACCCTGTGAAGTAAACACTATTGTCTTCCTACGTCTTACTCAGCAGCATCCTGTGTGTAAATGTATGCAATCTGGGGTACAGCAGCAATCGGAACATGAATTAAAAAATATCTATCTCAGCCTTAAGAACAATGACCTCACCTAGAGAGCAGTATATTTCACTGTGAAGCACAGATCAGAAAAGGGTTCCCTTTCTACATTGTTCAGGGTGCATGTTCCTGTTGGTCATCTTTTAACATATTGTACATTCAATACACGGCTTTCTAATGTCTAAGATTTAATGAAACAAGTGGCTTTAATAGGAATCGAAGTGGCCCCTTGATCACTAAGTGCAGAACTTGTCTATGTAGACAATTAATTCAATTCTTCAGTGCAGCAATCACACTTTTGTGACTGGTCACCCTGCTCTTCATTAAGGGATGCCCTAGAATTAGTCTCAGATGTAGTCTCAGCTCCAGTGGCTAAAGACATTACTCCAAATTCCTTCTGCATGCTACTGGAAACACTGATTCTGCCCTGTTGTCAACTTAAGCTCTGCTCATAAGACATACTCCACAACCAAATACCATTCCCTTCTGCACATACTTTGTCATAATAGAAATTAAAAGACTTGCAGAGTTCTTACACTTGATTTTTCTTCGAAGTTGGCAAGATCTTTCAAAATATGCTCCACATGCGAACTGCTGTTTCCCACATCTGTGAAAGCAGACAGTCTCTCAGACACAATATCCAAAGCTGCTTTGACCTGAAATGAGACACAGCTACGTATGAATGAAAAGGGTGGCACCTCTCTGGAGTCCCATCAGTTAAATAACTGGTAGCAACTATTTGCAGTCAGGTGACTCAAATTATGCAGTTACTGAGGCACAGAGACAAATCACTTTCTTTGTCAGCCTACCTCTACCCCCAATTCTAAATGAAAACAAATACAAAGAAAAGGCATTAAAGTAATTGTGTTTCCTGGTACTGAAAACAAACCTCAGGAAAACTAATGGAACTCAGGAAACATTTATGATCTTGCTTTTGCCAGATGACAGTGATACAAAGCAAAATTAGGGTCCCCAGCAAAACATGAGGGAAAGGTCCCCACCCGAGCAATTGGTTGAGAGACAGACAGACACACACTTGCAACGGGGTTTCTGAGTGCTGCTCTCATGGAGACATAGTGGCGGTGCTCCGAGATCAACTACACCAGCATAAAGGGACTGTAGATGCCATCAGCATGTGAGTTAAACAACATGAGATCAGAAGCTGGCTGTAAAAATTGTAGCTCAGCCTCCAGCCTCCACCCAGCTTCTCAGAGTGTGGTTGCAAATTCTCACCCACAGTGTTGGAGACAGTTTTTATAAAATTTCAGCCAGAAGGTTTAGTTGAGTCTTGGTTCCATAAAAGGGCCTATTAGCAAGATGAAAGCATTGCAGCAACATTTCATACTTCTGTGGTACAGAACAGGTTTCAAAGGGGTTTTTGAACACTTATACACTGCTGGGTGCATGGAAAAAAAGACTGCAGAAGGAAAGCTGTTATGTCTCTATAGGCAAGAATTCAAAACAGTAAAGATAGCAGTATGTCAGGTAAGGACAAGTACAAGAAAAAGGTTGGAGAAAGCTTTCAAGCACACATAAGAACTGCAAAAACAAGAAGAGAAAGTATTTTCTTCAGAATCATATCTATATTACCAAATATTGACTGCCACCAAGAAGTTCTCACCTCTCTGAAATTCTGTTCGAAATTCCGAAGGCGCAGACATTGCTCAAGTTTTTGCTGATGCTTAATCCAAAACTCATCAAAGGCAGTTTCCGTTTCATGTAATTGAGCCAATAGTCTTTAAAAAAAAACACAAAAAACCGACCAAAACAAAACACAAAAAAACCCACTGTAAGAATGATTGGTACAACCTTCAAGGGACAATGCAATCTTCCACAGTAAACAAACACTCTCCCCAAAGCAATATTTTCCAGAACAAATAAACTGGATACAGGAAACATTTTAGTATTGCATAGAATCGTTTCCTAGAATAACACTGATGTAAAACTGAAACCCAACACAAACATTAAGTTGTGAAAAATGGACAAGTGTGATTTGAAGCACCTCAGCTCTGGCCTGGGCACAAAGGGAGTTGTATCTAACGTACATAAATAAAACATGCAAATATGTGTGGGCTAGGACCCAGGGGAACCCAAGCCTTAGGCTCTAAGGAAAAATTAAAGTAAAAATTCATACTGCTGTGACCAGTCAGCTGCCCTTACATTTCATTGAGGCAAAGCTCACAATAAACCTGAAGGCCATTGCTCCTTCTCTTCCAAGCAGTTATTACTTAAGTATCATAGGCAAGCGTACAGCAGTACCACAATGAAAAAAGCCTTTTTCAATTATATTTCTGGCAAATGTCTTAAAACTTTTACTTTTTAACTTATCTTCTAATATTGAATTTGACAGTATGAGAACCTATGGAGTTTTTACAGTGCACTTTGCTGTACTTAGCCTACATGCAGGGAAGGCTATACACCAGAATTTTAATGAGCTTTTGTCTTCAATAGCACAGAAATAAACTCTGAATTTAAAAGTTAAAACCAATTAGAAAAAAGGCAGGGACACACATAGAGTTTGTTCCAGCTTCCGTCAGATATTGTATTGAATAGGAATGTTACGGATAAATTAGCAACCCCCACCCCCACTGTCCTTGGACAGCTGATAGCAACAGTGACCAAAAAAAACTGAATTCTGCCAAGCTTTATGGATTGTAATGGACAGTTATTTGGAAAGAAAAGTCAGCCTCAGAGTAACAGAAACACAGAATGACAGATAAAAAAAGAATGCAGAATACTGCCTGGGGGAAATGAGCTATGCTTTCATAGCTTTGTGAAAATTTACATCTGTCCCATGGTGATATAATGTCTAAAAACCTGGCAGTAAGTTAAGGTGTGTGGGGCTGTGTATGACAGGCAGGAAGCAAAGGAAAGCAACATCTATTACTTATCAAAGGAAGCATATAGGAAATTGGGGCATTGATTCTTCAAAAGTGGTGTACTACCTAGTAGCCCTTTAAAGGCTACTCATAACATTGATAAATATGAGGTTTAAAGAAAAAAAAAAACAACAAAAAAACCAAAAAACAACCAAACCTTCCCACTTCAAAAGGACCTAATTAAAATGGACAAATTTACTGAAAAGAATGGATATATTACTTCCATCCTCCCCTCCTGTCTTCCCTACAGTAGCAAAATTTTCTTTAGTCTCTAAAACATTGATGTTCTTTAAAATAAGGCAAAGCTGCTCAACTATATAGTCCAAATATTACAAAAGAAAAAAACCAAACCAAAACAAAACAGCGTTGTTTTGTTGGCACCAGAACTCCAACCTCATTTCCTTATAGCCAGGTGATCCAGTAGCAGATATTACTTTGCTCAGGACAGATCTGACAAGAGGAGTTTTTTCTGAAACATTTTGTAATGTTCACCTTGCAACATCTGCTTATTTGCAAAGCATGCATATGGACCTAAGCAAAAGAGCTGGGGAGGGGTAAAAAAATCCCAGAAGAGCAGCACGTTCAATATTTCACACCTCTCACCTTTCAACCGTTGTTTGATTGTCTAGCTGATCTTGATTCAGTTTGTATTCAGGATTCTCAGTAACTGGTTTTGTTATACTTCCGAGGATATCATCTCCCTGTTCTACTGCTACCCTGATGTCCTCCTACAAAAGAAAACAAAACAAACCCCCCACAAGCTGTAGTTGTGTGGTGGTGGTTTTTTAAGTACACTTCATAAGGCACCAAACTGGAAGAAGGATTTTAACGGCAATAGTGCAAACACAGTTTGATTAAAAAGTTTGACAATAGACAGTAAATGAAAAATGTAATCTCATTCCAAGGTTACCATCTTAAGATCCCAGTGTAACTGAGTTGAATGGTAGACAGCCTTCTAGTGTCGCCTTAGGCTACAAATATCTAAAAAATTTTAGATGTACAGTTTTGAAACCACTAAATAGTTTTCATTTAAGCCTATTTGAAAGAACAGTTGTTAATGCTTCAAAAGGCCATACATTTTCATGTGCATGCAAATACAATCAAATTTCCTGTTGCAAACAAAAGCACAAATTAGACACACCATACTTACAAAGAAATTACTGTTGCACATACAAATCATTATGCACTTGTACATACATAAACTTAGCCTCAAAAAATGTCATTTTTGAATGCAAAAAGGATTTTTAACATCAAAACAAGTAAGTTCAACAAGATTTCAGTGGCTGACATTGTTACTTCTATTAACATGTCCCATATTTTCTAATTACATTGCTAGCTATAACTTAAACCACAATTTAACTATAAGACAGAGTCTTTACAAAAATTACATACCTTCATTTTGTCCTTCTTTTCTGTGTGTGTTGCAAGAAGGGAGCTGGTGGATTGCACATCATTTGGTAGTTCTGTTTCAGCCAGCTCAGTCCCAAAGGACTGAAGAATCTGAGCTGTTTGCTTAACCTTTTGAGCGAAACCTTCTATAGCCTTTTGGAATAAAAAGCATTAAGATGTTTTGAGCTCGTCACACACATATGTACAAACAAACACATACACAGAAAATATAACTCTCAAAACAAACCCAAACAGATGAATTACAAGACTGAAAAATAGTCAAAGTATAATTTTGCGAGCAACAGATACCGTCACCATTAACTCCTTAATTGTATACTTTTCTTAGGCTTGTATCAGGTGTATCTTCTTCATATTTTTATAATCTGGAGTTATTTTACAACTTGAGCTTTTTCCTTCTTGTAGCAAAACCAATAAACTTCTACACAATAATACACTGTAGTTCCTTTGCTCCAAGTGTTCAGAAAACCACTCCCAAGTTATTACTCATATTATTTCTCTAAGATGACTAAGTACCATTGGGAACATCTTCTCACTCTTGAGCAAGTCAACTTGCATCACTTGGAATCTGTTTTATAAATGACAGGGTATAAAACAGAAGGGTTCATTAAACTGAAAAGTTAAAACAAAACCTAAGACTTACAGTGCGACGGGACAGCCATCTGTTATGGCAGTAATCCAGGGTGCCACCAAGATCTTCTGTTAATTGTGTTTTATCAATGTAACCCTGCAGTTCTGATACTGAGCCCAGCATTATGATCTGCAGCAGGAGAGAAAGAAGTGAACGTGCTCAGTGGTGACAAGTCCCTTGTTAAGAATTCTAAGCCACTGATAGAGAAAATTCACTTGAATATAGAAGTAAGTGATGGAACTATTTCCTTTGGGTATAGAAAAACAAACTTAACAGTTGTTTCAGTTGAAGTTGATGTAAATGTAAGTAACTGAATAAAAGCATGAGCATGAGGCATATTAGAAAAAAGGCTTATGGTTTATACAACATAAATTACACTGCCATTTTTTTTTATCTTGATAAACCATACTTGGTTATTTTCTAAGAGCAACATTAATTTCTTCCTTGTTGTCCTAGGTCTCCATGAGAGAATAATAGTTTCTACATGGATTTGTCATGTAAGTACTGATTCCCCAAACTAACTGAAAGACAGGGGAAAAGTATCCTAAAGACTATCTTTCAGCTTGAAATTTACATCTGATAAGCAAAATAACTTTTGTATCATTAGCTCATATAGTTTCAAAGTTTATTTTAAAATATCAGTGCTGTACCTTTGCAAACAAAAGTACAATCAATGAGTAAACTGGCAATAAAACAAAAGCATCCATTGTATGTTTGCTCAAACGACAGAAACCATAGCATTTGTCCACGGGAAATGCATTTGCCTCAAAATTCATATGCTCTTTCAAGAACAAACTATCATGAATTAGCTAAAATTGTTAGAACTGCCTTTAAACACGTTTTTTTGGTGGGTACTTTTTGGTCCTCACTGGCTACGTTAAGTACTTTTACAGCTTCCTGGTAGTAAAGGGAAACCAGAGGATTACTTACAGGTACTTTCATTTTAAACTCATCTTTGCCGAATTTGAAAGCAATATCCGAGAGAGCTCGATGAAAAAATCCTGTTGGGCGCAGAACAAGGACCAGTTGCAGGTTTCCTGGGAAAGATGCCTGCAAAGTAAGTTTAGTCTGTTATTTTCTGTGTCTCAGCTCCAGAAAATATTTCTGAGCAAGGAGAAGCCCCTGATAAACCACGAACCAACTGTATCAAAGGCCTCCCATAATGGGGTGACCAATTATGCAATTACATGACTAGTACAAAGAGCTTCATTCAAAAGACATTTACTTGTCTTTGGGAACAGGGATCTATTCTCTAGGAATCAATTTTTTTTCAGGGCTGGCTTGTACTGTTCTTCAGCTAAGATCACAACCTACCCAAGGAGGCTAATGAACAAACAGCAGTGGCTTAGTATTTTCTTAACAGCAGTACTTTCATGGGTACTTTATCTTCTCTTTAATAGAAGGTGCCAGGAGAAACCTCCCTTATTGTCTGAACACCTAACAACATATTTCTAATTTGTGCATATGCTACCTTGCCAGTTGCCTACACAACTTATTGCCACGGAGAGTGAATTTCTCAGGCAGTAGCTTAGAAATAAGCTTTAATTTTGCAGACAAAAATGAAAATAAAAATCAAGCATAACAGCTGTGGTTTTTCTCATCATCTTTCTGCTGGTAGTCTGATGGATCTTCCCCAGTTCTACAAGTGATAGATGGAAAACATAAGAGAAGAAAAGCAAAAAATAGCATTAAATTACTAAAAATCAACCTCTGCTATGGCAGAGGCTTGCATTTTTGGCATTTAGCCATTCTTGAAAACATGCAAGTGTTCTCCTCTATTCAGTATTTCTACTGTAGGGAGGCACTTGGACTCACTGAAGAAATGATCATTATAATGATTAAGTATGCAATTTTCTTCATTATACTGTTAGAAATTATTTCACATTTCTAGTAAACTGAGCTACTGAAGGAAAAGAAAAAAGCCAACAAAAAAAGCCCCAGTGACTGAAGAAGCTGTTATGCTATGCTCTGTTTCCATGCCTAGTGGAACTGTTAGTATCTGGATGGTTGATGAGTGGCTTAATATTAATTTTGAAATTTCCAAGGGTTCCAGGTACTTAGCATTGCAAATGATAAACTTTTAAAGGGAAAAAATAGTTCAAAACTTTTCTGGAAAACTTTACAGATTCACTGTGGTTCCCCAGATATTCAATATACAACGAAGATTTCAATTCGATTAGGGAACCTTAAAGGCTTGAGCTTCTCAATCTGTCTCCATTTCAGTGATGTCCAAATTTTCTAGAAAGCGTGACAGTTCAGTCTCAAAGAAGTCTGAGGGCTGGGAACAGAATCCAGGTAATTTTGATTGCCCTCAGTAGCTCTTCATTCTTGAACTGTAAAGTTCATTAAAACAGTACCCTATTCACAAAAACTAGCCACTAACTAGTGAAATTAGTAGGCTAACTAACCCATAGTTATCAGAACAAAAACTTTTTATAGAAAATTACTCACTGTATTCAGAAGAACAAGAAAACATGATCCTTTTTACCATTTTTTCTGAATTATCATACAAGGGACAACTGCAAATTTATATAAGAAAATTATTTCACTCATACTAAGAGATATTACAAGAATAGGAAAAAAGATTTTTTTAAATTAAATCTCCTCAATAATCTTTATAGAATGATAGCCATATAGTTTATTTATTTCACACATTCAACAGATATGTCAATTTATTTTGGGCCTGTAACAGAAGTGTTTGGAATCTGAGTGAGCTGTTACTTTTCACCTCTAGCTTCCAAAATATAAAGTTTATTCAATGGCAATGCCAAAGTTTCAGAAGAAAAAACTCCAATAAGAAATATCTTTTAGATAACACACATTGGAAAAAAATAAAAAGGTGCCTTCTTGTGAGACATCCACCCCACCACATGACTTTCGTATGCTTGTTATAGAGAAATCTGGGATTCAGGTTTTCAATTTTAAAAAAGGAAAAGTTTTTTTTGACAGTGTCTAAAGGTTCTGTTACATGAAATGTAATGGCATTTTTTTCTGAACTTTGTATTAGCTCTAAGGAAATTGAGTTTAATTGCATGACAAAATTAAGTAGGGTGTTCAGTTCAGAGAAAACAGACAGAGAATACACATTACAATTATTGTCCATCTCTGTGTGCCTACACAGAAAGATGCTGTTGAAGTCAACACAGTCTTGTATCACTTGAATTCCCATTTGAGGCTTGTCAGGATTTCCCCCTCTCTCTGAATAAGCTCAAATTCTAGATTACATTAACTTTGTCTACAACAGCATCTTGTCTCCACTAGTCTGCCTCCTATTTAGTTTGGTTTGGGTTTTTCTTCCATCAAAAAACCCTCAAGTCTTAAAAAATGATGCCTCCTCTGCTTGTTGTTGCTAGGAGTCAAATCTGCAAATTGATCTTTGTGAAACAACAAAAAGAAAAGGGAGGATTATTACAGCAAACAATGTTGGGCCTGTGCCAGCAATTACAGTTTATCAAAGGTTCACAGAATCACAGAATATGCTGAGTTGGAAGGGACCCACAAGGATCATCGAGTCCAACTCTTATCCCTGCACGGGACCATCCCCAAGAGTCACATCATGTGCCTGGGAGTATAATTCAAACACTTCTTGAACTCTGTCAGGCTTGGTGCTGTGACCACTGTCCTGGGGAGCCTGTTCCAGTGCCCAACCACCCTCTGGGTGTATCTGCACTGTCCAAACACTCCTGTTTTTACTAAAACTTCTTTTTCCCCCAAAGTCCTGGTGACTTGAAGAGACAACACTATAATGTAAGAGATATTCCTTAAATGCCTGTGAACTTCATTGACCAGTCAACTTCACCCTGAACACAAGAACAAAACAAAACAACTGCTGCTCCAGTCCAGCAGCATATTTGTTTGAAGGCATTGTATGCTAAGCAGACAGAGCAAACAATGACTCCTCAATAACGCTGTGCCAAATGTTAAGCACCAAAAAATGTTCATGTATGTTTAGTAGAGCCATCAAATAAAGTGCCTTCAAGGACTGTTTCACTGAAGTCAATGAACCTCTGTGACTTGAAGAAGGGCTTGTGTGTTTGAAAGCTGGTTGGTTTTTCCCCCCCCAAAGTGTCTTTCTTTACTACATTAACATCTACAGCTTCTCTGGGCAACCTGTTCCAATATCTCACTAATTTCACAGTAAAGAATGTCTTCCTAACTTGTAACCTAAGTCTCAACTCATTCAGTTTAAAACCACTCCCTCTTGTTCTATCACTATCTGCCTGTGTAAAAAAAAATCACTCCCCCTCTTTTTCCTAAGCCCCCTTTAAGTACCAAAAGGCTGCAATGAGGTCTCCCTGGAGCCTTCTCTTCTCCAACCTGAACAACTCCAGTTCTCTCAGCCTGTTCTAATACAAGAGGTGCTCCAGACCTCTGATCATCTTTGTGGCCTCCTCTGGACCACAAGGCAGTTGCATATAATCCTAACTATCAGTTTTTTTCACAGACTATTGATGACAGAGGCTGTCTGTACCACCACCCGTACTGACCCTTGACCCTGAAGTTAATCCAATTTTCAGAAATATCAGAACCATGTGAGCCATCAAAGAGTTAACACTTGACTCAGTTTTAGTAGTTCTGTCTCAAAATACTTGGAACAATGCTAATTTTCATTTTCTGACCAGCTTCAATATACCCACATTACAAAACACTGTGATGGTATTTTTCCTTCTGCACTCGCTAACATGCCATAAGCCACAGCACACTTCTTTTCAAAATACTTTTGTATATAAAGGAGCTAATAAATACTCTTTATTCCTGGCTAGAATGAAGTCTCTTACACAGACTTCTTGTCAGGAAAGAACCTTGAATGAAATCAATTCATAAAAGCAGCAGTTTGAAATCTAGTTTTAAAAGCATTGAAATGTTTTGCATTAGATACGTGTTTAATGCTTGTGACGTTATAATCCTGTTTTCAGAGTTTAAGTGACTCACTTACCTCTTTTTACATATTAGAAAAAAAATGTAGTAAAAAGGAAAAATGGCTAATTATATCAGGATAACTGCAAAAGTACCTTAACCTGTAATAGGTTCAAAACATCCAAAACAAGAAGACAAAACCACACTAATCTCAAGATAAATTTTTCATTTATCATTTACTGGACTCATTCATAACAATAGCCACAAAATTAATACAAATACTGTTCTAGTTTCACCATACTACCAAGTTTGTGTTTTGAATCCAAGCAGAGTGAGAAACATGACCAGAGACTTAAAGAAAGTTCCCCCCTTGGATGTCAAACCAATGACTCCAGACGGCACAAAAATGGGACTGCCTGACTCCTGCAGAGTTTAGGCTGTTATCACAAAACCACAGAATCCATTAGGTTGGAAAAGACCTCCAAGATCAATCAATCCAGCCTAAACACTCTAATCTCTCCGTTGGTTTTTGGTCTCTTCCTACCAGCTAACAGTCTTGGCCCCAGAGTTGCTTCAAAGCAACTCTGGACCTTCAAGATGAGGCTGATGGATGGCTATGGTAAAACTTTTAATGATGTTGAGTAATGTTTTTTGTTTGCCCAAAAGTATGAGTTCACACTTTATCTTTTCCCTCAGAATGGAGGAAGACAAGACACAGGACAAGAGACAATGTAAGGATTAGGCTTCATTTTTTTTAAGAAAATACACTTGAACTATGAAGAGAGCAGTGTGAAACCCTAGAACACAATGATTAGTACAGAGCCTTGCTCCTACAACTGCAGATTGAATATTGCTTGTTTGGGTATGATAACATTAGGAGAGAGAAATAAAAAAAAGAGAATAAAAGAAAAAAAAAAGAAGCAATTTTTGACTGCATGGAAACGAAAAGGGGATCAATTTGTCTGGCATTTGTCATTCACCCAGCTTCAGTTGGGACAATACAGAGCTGCTTTTCCAAGCAACATGACTGCTCCTCCTTGCACTCTCATCTATGAGCCTACCCACTTGCTCAGCCACAGGAGCTGAAATGTTCAGCAATGTCTTGTGTGTTTCTCTATACTGTGTTTAGCTGAGAACAGAACATTCTAATACAAATTTACAAAAATCACTGCAGCTGACAGGGTAAAAAGTTAAAGAACTTCTGTATCCCCAAAAAACAGTGTAATAAGAGTGAACAATTTGCAATTGTTCACTATTCTTTTTATTATTATCAATTGATAATTAATTATATTATTATTCCCTTCAATATTTTTCTTGTAATACCTTTCAATTTCTACTGTCTCTCTAAGAACATAACTATCTGGACTTCACACAAAACAACACAAAACTTGGCTTTTGGAATCTCTACCAGCACTCCACCTCTCAGCCTGACTACCCTAGTAGGTCAGATTCTTCCTAGGCTAATAAGTTCACTTTAGCTAAATCAAGGGGAAAATAATAATGATAATAAAAAAGGTTGTTTGCAGTGTCTCTTAAGCCACAGAGTCTGCAGTCTTGCACTGGCTATGGACAATCTCCTGGGCCACCTACCCATTGCAACTTCATCAAACAGAGTATATCAACAGCAAAGCCTCCATGCCTGGGCACGTTCTTGTCACAATCTGTGTCACATCTCAGGAAAGGATGGGCCATCTTTCAGCCCAGTGCCTCTGGCTATGCTTTCAGTCCCGCTGTCCCTGTATGTCCTTGAGCAGCCGTCATCCTGGGCAAGCAGGGCAGACACTGACCTTCCACTAAATCTGCAAAAATAGGTTTACCTCAGCTTCACAGTCTTGACTACAGCAACCTTTAAGTTGCTTTATGAAATACAGTTCTTTATGAAATACAGATTCAGTTCATCATTGCTCAGTGCTTACAAATGGACTTCCTACAGTTGTCAGAGTATTAGTGATTGGCAGATGCTCCAGCCAGAGCACTCTATGCTGGCATTTCTGATTTCACAAATCAAGAGGGTCAACTCCCTTGGGATGATAAGAGAAAAATCAGGAAAGATGGCAGAAAGGATGCTGCAGAAACTACAACAAATAACATAACAGCCAAAACTCTTTTCTCAAATAACATGAAACATATATCCTAACATACAACGATCAGTTTTAGTAATAAAAAAAAAAAAAAAAAAAGAGACACTTTTTGCAAGGGTAGAGAGTGAGAGAGTGGTAGGACAAGGGGAAATGGCTTCAAACTGAAAGGAGATAGGATTTTAGATTAGATATTAGGAAGAAAAAAAAATCCTTGTCCATCAATAGGACCTCATGACTGGCACAAAATACATATCTTGTATATTTGGCTTTGGTTTTCGTTTTTTTTGTTTAGTTTTTGGTGTGCGTTTTGTTGTTGTAGTTGTTGTGGGTTGTTTTGTTTTGTTTTTGATTTTTAAGGAACACACAGCTGAAATGTATTAGATTTTATTTATTGCAAATCCTATAGTAAAGAAATTATGGACAACAATTTTCTATATCTTCTTTTGAAATAGGAAGATAAAATTTTCAAGTGTTCAGGGGTGATGTGACTATTGTTGAAGGAGGACTGCTACATATACTAATGGATACAGTTCAAAGCCAACACTGTTGCTGTTCAAAACCACAAACAAATATAAAAAAATATCACGTCTCTAAGAGACTAGACTTCAGTTAGGAAACATGATTTCTCTTTTAAATAAACCTCACAGAAGAATGAGGAAAGATGGAAAAAGCAAAATAACTCATCATCAGTAGTACTGCAACCTGCAGTGTTCCCTGCACTTAACACCCTTCTCTGGGCAAATCCCTGAGGCACCACCACCACCACGACAGTGACATATCCCTTATAATGGGGAATAGTTACTCAAGTTCTGCAAATAGTGCTTCTAAGCAAAATGACACACACTGGAGGAATGTTTCATAAATGTTCTCATTATGGCTATAAGCAACATGTCTGTAGTTCTCCCCGACCCTTACAACCCCAATTATGCAAATAAAGAGACCATCATCTGTGCAGTGCTTATCTGTCCTTGAAGAGAAACTACAAGAGCATTTCAAAATTCAAGAGCATTGAATTTTGAAGAGATTCAAGACCTCCAGAGATATAGCCCTTTTTCTTTAATCATCCCATGCTCTCAGCTTTCACTACTGAAATCTACTCACTGCTGCATCTCAAAATTTCAACATGAGCTGCAAAAGCAAATTTTGCTAGTACTTACTGTATTTTCAATATTGTAACATTCTTAACATACTTATTGTGTAAAAAATTGTATATTTGATATAATTTGTGTATTATGATATAATATTTTGGGATATATCATTATATAGTCATTCGCAATATGTCATATAGTGGGAGTCATGTACTACCTTTAAAGAAATACCTTTTAACTTACAGTACAGAAAAAAATTCTTTGGTCATAATGAGGCTACACAAACACTGTTTTGATTTGACTTTTATCTTGCTGAACCAAAAATTTTCAGCAACTAAATATTAAAGAAAAGATGCTTACAGCTCTGTTTTTCAGCCCTTACTGGAAAGATTATTGATACTAACAATTCAACAAGGATACCAAGAAAAAAAAACAACTAGCCAATCAAACAAATAAAAAGTAAAGAAGTAAATGAAAAGTAGGATAAGTACATGATAAACATGAATTTGTCCTTTCCTAGTTCTGTTAAAAAAAAAAAAAAAGCCTCTAATAAGCTTATTTTTCAGATTTTTAAGGCATTAATTAGAAGGGAGACTGCAAGTTAACAGCATGTGCTGTTGATTGCTCATAGAGGGCACATGAGATTTTCATGCTTACAATTAACCTCTGTTTTAAATCAAACATTACATGATCAGTTTTTACATACAAATTCCTTTCACAAGTGGCAAACTTAACCAGGACCCTCACCCTCCTCTCTTCCTAAAAGGGAAGCTTACTTGAATAGTGAGAAGTGGACCCAAAGCTCTATGGGACGTCCATACAAATATTACTTCCCATCTGGGAGAGCTGCACGCTGCACATATTAAAAACACACACACACGCTCTCCAACTGCATACTTAGGAAGATGCACTGAGTTGCAGAGTGCATTAAAAGCACATCATAGACACATGATGCTCGGTCCAGTCAGCCAGGATGCAAAACAACTACTGGTTACTTTTTGTATCATTTATTAGCTGACATTTTTTTAATTAAAAAAAAAAACAACCACAAAAAAAACAACAAAAACACCACCAAACAATTTGCTATTTTTCCACTTGTAAGAGGAAGGTTCAACACAGAAAAGTCTTTCTAAGGAGTTGATTTTAAACAGTACTCACTGCTATCCGGAGTATGGAAGCTTTCACGGAGGTCCATTTGTCCTGTCTGCGATCTATGACAAGAATAAATCCAATTCCAGCATCTCGTAAACTAAGTTTGAAGGAAGAAAGGAGAAAAAAAGGAAAGTTTAGTTGAAAATGTAACTCCTGGTGCTCTCACTCAGAAAAGCAGTTAAAAAATTGCTTTAGTAAAAAGTACCTTGACCTTTTTGTGCAGAATCTTCATTAAATAAAGATATGCTATACACCATTGCAAAGATGCTGCAGTCCCATATGAGCTTCACAGAATTTCAAAAGGTATTTGAATAATGAATTCTTTCTCATGAAAGACAGTTTTTACATTTCTTGTACAGGGATTATTTCACAGGAAAACAAACCCCTTTGATTCTCCACTGTTTTGGTGCTGATATAATCCCTTCCTCGTGCTGTTTTCAGTATAATTTCAGAATGAAAATAAAGCTGTTTTTCTTTCGCATCTGCTTTTAACCTTCTGTTTGAATTGTCTTCCTTCTCACTGATATTTAAAACTCCTTATAAACACAGATCCTTCTATCATTCCATGATATTGCTCCATGCATCTGAAATTCTCATATGCTTCCAGGTTGCAAACTTCTTCCTAGGTGCATTTTTACATTCACTGAAACAAGAAAACCTTACGGCGTTTAAAAACCCCGAGTCATAGACGAGAACCAGGAGATCAGATGCGCTTCCCTGGAATGGAAACATCTGTGGGAGAGATTCTGCTCAAATCCTTGTGTACGGGTGACCTTTCCTTTTTGCCTGTGCTCAGCTGCATGTGCTACCGAGTCCTGATCAAGGGAAATGCTCCTGTTTTGTAATTCCCCATCTAAGCCAATTGTGCAATGCCAGCAGCAGCCCTTGCCAGCCAATCGCAATCAAAATGGAAACAGCAGGCAAACACAAGGCAGACAGGCTCAGATTTATTGTTTTCTCATGTATTTGGTAATTTTTTAATGTATGTGCTTATTTTTAGTCCTGATAAATAATTTATTACAAGGCCTGCTGTCTGCACGGTGGGACTTTTAGAAACATTGTGCATCTATTTGTTATGGTAATATGTTAAAAGGCAATATAAAAATCAGCACAACAGAATGTCAGGATTCCTTATTCAAGATTGCTGAATCATGGAAATATCAGCTTTGCTTTATAAGATTATGTCAGGAGCATAATGATAAGGGGATGTTTAAGAGGATGAAGAACAGGGGTGCCGAGATGTGTCATCCTAAGCTATTCCTCAAAATTACAAATTTAAACATGACTCACAGTCTGTTTCTTCTCTTTTACAAAATGCAGTATCTCTCAAATTTACAGACAAAATATTTAGGGCAAATGTGAATAGTCATTAAAAGTACAAAGGAACACTTGCTTTCTTTCAGAAGAAGCTAAGCAGTCCTTTTAACATATCAAAATATTAGAAACAACCCTCACTGCCCACATTCAGCACATGTTACTTAACTCTTGCCTCTGGGTTAGGACAACACTGATAAACAACATCTGAGCACTTGTCTTGTAAGCCTGAACAACCCTTGCAGACAAACAGGGCTTTATATTAGCAATATGCTTCCCACTACAGTAAATTTCCACGATTTACTAAAGCTTCCCCTCTTATTTATCTTCATTTAAAGGGCAAGAGGAGAAAAGAGATCCAGATTGATTTTAACATCTTCCAGTTCCCCATTTAAAGTTTCCAGCATTTTAACCTTTAGTGACTGAGCAAAATAAAATTAAAATAGCAACCATTTTCCACAATAATCAGGTAGCAAAACAAACTCCCTGGATACACAGCCGTAATCTGGATGAATGGAGTTAAAAAGATGCTACAGCTGTTCCCATAGGAGTTCATGTGTATTAGGACTCTTAAAGAGCTATCTTCCCTGCTCAGTAGAAGTTCTCAGGAGCCCTGAAATTTCTCCATACATCCTCAGAGGAAGCATAATCTCAGAGTACTGAAATGCAGTACCTGTACCAAGAAACGACTGACATTTCTGCAAAACATGAATAAAATTAAAGCCTCTGACAGAGCATCAATCAGATTTCTCTCTGGAGCACAGGATCAGCTCAGCTGGGATCCTAGGGACAATCTAGATGGCAGCTCCACACAGTTAATCACCTGCCTCAACACCTGGCAATAAGCAGAACTCAGTATCATTATCCTAGAAAAAATAAAAAGACAAGGCTTACTTAAGTAGAAGAATTGACAAAGGAAAGCGCATCTCTAAGATAGCCCAAAAGATGTCTTTAGCCAACCTTCTTTTTCCACTGGATCAAATCGAAGGATCGAATATGTTGTGTGGTTGCATGAATCAGAATGGGGCTCCTTTCCAGGCTCAGACATAAAAGACAGGATTCCCCACTGCTGCCTAGAAGAGACTCAGTGGCAAACTCTTGAGCACCTGACTTCAGACTGTTAACATTCCTTTAATATAGGCTGCTCAAAAAAAATTAAATGCTCTGTTCCAAACTGATCAGGGTGGGAAAAATATTTGTTATCTTGACAACAGTGTCTTGTTGCAAAGGCCTGGCTATGGAGTCTGGGATCCAGCTCCAGCAAGTTGTAGGCAGGAAGCAACAAACCAAACTAAGACATTGTGTACAACAAAGTTGAGAACATTATCAAGACAACAAAGTCACGTATTCAAGAAAAGTAAATACTGAAAACAGGTCTGTTTGCCAATGCACCCTTGCTCTACTGACCTCTCTTTGCTGCCACACACACACACCTGCATATGGAGTTATGAGACAGTTTGCAAAACCCTCCTGTTCTTATAGGGTATAGGATGATTTGGTAACAAGCACATATTACATTTTCCTTTGGCTCCCAATTTAACTGTGAGCTGTCCCCCTTTCCCGAAGCCAAATTTATTACATTTTATCCCAGTACTGATTTCTCCCTTCCCCTCCATGTGGCTGAGAGGAATGCATTCTGGTTTTTGCTCTGTGTCTCAGCAAGAGCAGAGAGATCCTGATCTTTTTCGGCACGCAACTGTAAGCCTATGCAGGGAGGACTTGTTCTATCCACTCATCACCGGTCATACTACTGCATCACAAAAGGGCAAACATACAAGACATGGTGGCAGATCACCAAGGAATGGTATTACCCACTCTGTCCACACAGCGGTTAGGTTTATGCTTGGGCATGCCACAAGAGTTGTGTGGACCAGCTCTTAAAAAAAAAAAAAAATTAATCTCAAAAGAAGACTTGTATGCAGAAAAAGACAAGCTGGAGCTCAAACAGGTTCAGCATATACAAGGAGACAGTCCAGTAGTAAAAGATGGGCACAGCCTGTTCTGCTCATAAACCTTTTTCCCCTGCCTTGCTCCAGTTGCATTGCACTCATCAGCTTAGCCCACATCATGCCTCTGTATCACTCTCCAATAAACTTGTCACCACCAACCACATTGGTCTCTCCCATTCATCCCTTCAATCATTCTAATTCCTTGCTACCTTGACCCAAGAACAGTTCAAAAAGTAATTATTTTTTCTTTTTTAATACTGTCAGGTCAAATGATCAAATCAGTTCTCACTCCACTCCTTCCTGAATATTGCAGTCCCTTAATCGTCCAGTTTCCTGTACCCTATGTCCCACTCAACCTTCCAGTATCCTCCCTTGGGTGGACAATTCACTCAGCTGTGGTCCTGCCTGTGGAGTCAGGCAGTTTGCCAGCACTGCCTGCTTGTCAACAGGCGGTACCTGCATTCCACACAACAGCCTTCCTGTGCTTGGCCCTGGGAGTCAGACCTGGCTTTGGAGCAGCTCATCCTGCAACCACAGAGAAGCCCTTGTTCTAAGTGTCAAATCTGAGTCCTTGACCAAACGGAGGACACACTTGAACTTCTCAAACAAAGTTCTTTGATTGTTTGAAAAGCAGGGTAGATTTTTTACCTGCCATCTTAGGAACCACTCAGCTATTTTGGCTGAACTTTACACCAAAAACTCAGGTGGGACCTCATGAATGGAAAGAAAATTTGCAGAAGTCGTAAATGACTGCAAACCAACTCGAACAGTGAGAAACAGGTTAAACTTTAGCAGAAGCACCCATGTATTAAGGTTTTGTAACATTTCCCTTACAGCCTCTGTTGTCTTTAATGCATTAACTTGTCTCCGGTGTACTTTCTGAAACATAATTTATAAAAGCTTGTAAGTAAAATTTAGTATTTCCTTCCTTTGTTTCCCTCCTAACACATTAAAAAAAAAAAAAACCCAAACAAAAAATCTCCCCAACCAAACAAAAAAACCCACACCAAAAAAAACCAACAAAATTCTCCCCGGCAAAACTGAAACATCATGGCGTAAGCACTGTTCTTCTGTTTTTTCAGCAGAACAAAGAACAGAACGTTTTTAGACAGGCAGAGAAACAATTCTTGCTCTGCAGGAAATGCGTCCAGTAAACTCACAAGGGCCCGGTCAGAAAGGTAAAAAATGGGGGAAGGGGAGCAGGGCCCCAAAGGACAGGAAAAAATGCATCAGAGGGCAGACTTTCTTCTCAGTCCCCTCTGTCTTGGGAAGCCAATGTAAAACCATCTGGAGGAGATGACAGTGAGGTTAAAGTACCTGCCCAACAAGCAATGAGTTTTCCACTGTAGAGCAGGAACTGAATTTTCCACTTAGTGACTCCTCAGCTTTAGATTATGGGGACACCCCCCTCTTTGTCTTGTTTGCAAGACATATGAGATCATACACCTGGGGGAAAGGGTGGGAAAGCTTATACTACATAGGACTGTGGAATGAAACTTCCCTCTGGGGTATGCAAAAGCAATTACATAAGTACCATGTGAAAAATCCTTGCATTTCTCCAAGGTATGGGTGGTGACAACTACTACACAAATAAGTGTCCTTCTACACTACTGTATGAAAACTGTTTGCATACACTGATCTCTATACAAATGGAACAAAGCAAATGCCAGAGACTTGAAAATATCAAACCTTTGCATGTTTGAAATTCTGTACAGCACTTTAGGTTACATAACTCCTGTTTTCTAAAACCGAATTTCAGTCTTAAAGCTTTATTATTAAACAGTTGGCTTACATTACACTCCGGATTGTTCCCTACCTCAACTACCTCTGCCTG